GGATTTAGTAATATCTTTTTAAATTTAATTTTCTTCCCAGTGTCTCCCTTTTATCTCTAGGCTGACCATTCATTACAAAGGTGGTGTTTATATCCAGTGCTGGAGAAAGATAAAGCTTTGGCAGTGTAACAGCCACTTGTTTATTTCCAAACCAGACCCAGCACAGTTCCCATAGAGACTTGTCTCAGTGCTTTTCCCTTCTTTTCCCATTCAGGAAATCAATGCCATTTTCATTAACAATGACAGATTGGTCCTCATACCTTTCTTTTTCTTGTTGTTTTTTTTTTCCCCTTTGGCCACTCTGGTGAGCCTGCCAAACGCTGCTAATTAGCAGTTGCTTAGTTGGTTTGGGCTCTGGTGCTCTGAGATGCTCCATACAAATGGACTCACAGGGATGTCTGTGCATGCTGCAGGTGCAGATTCAACCTTCTGCCACACAGTACAGGCTGCTTTTACAGCTGCATTGTCACTAAGGCATAGAACCAATCATTCATTTCATAGATGTCATTAAATGCTTCTTAAATGATCTGAAATTTAAATAATCTCTTGAGTAAGATTTGAATTGTATCATTTTCCCTGTCCTTGAATACATGATTAGTTAAAAAAAAGTGTAATCAGTACTGGAACCTGTTATCCTTAGGAATCCACTAGTATCACATGTCAGGAATTCAAAGGAATTCAGTTTCATGCCCATGAAATGGATGCAGTCAGAAGGAAGCTTGTTTTATTAAACTACGTGGAATGAAATGTAGACGAAATTACTTGAGACTTGTTTGAAATATTCATGTGAAGGTGGTGCACAGGGCAAAATGAAGGAGAGATAACAATGCAGGGTGATATGCCAGCCTTTAATAAGACCAGGGTATGCTTTTTGAACCTGGGGAGGCAGAAAACCTAAGAGCATTGCAGCAGGACTTAAACCAATATGAGGTGATCACACCAGGGCAGTGGAATAATTTAAAATGCCAATATCATTGTTTTAGGGCTATCTGCACTGATGAGTGAGCTCCTAAAGGTACCAGAACTGTGACTGAGACCAGAGCTTTGCTGGTACCACTGCACAGTAACTTGAATGCATAGTTTATCCCAGGCATTCCAGAAAGCCAGAGATGGCCATCAGAGGAGGTCCCACTGCCTCTGTTATGAGATAATCCCTAGGGAATGACCACCTTTGGGTCATGCTGCAGCACCTCCTTCTTTAATGAAGACTTTGGCTAAAACTTGGATGCTATTTATATTGTAAGATCATCCATCTTTTCTCATCTCCACAGAGTCAGGAATGAGGCAAAACCAGAGCTCCTGGTAACAGGGAAAGGAGCTTGAATATTTTCCAGATCCAGCAGTTACCTTACTAGTCCATGATAAATACAGATGGAGGATCTTGACAACAGAATGTAGGTGCTGGTGTTTAGGCCTAAGAAAAGACAGAGAAGTGAAAGGTGGGATTCACTCAATTAAATATGTATATCTGAAGGTATCCATGTGTGTGCTGCCCGGCCCAGGCATAGTCAGTGCAGAGAAACTGACAACGGACAACAAAAGTCCCCTGACAACTGGGGACTTTTCAAAGAAGACGTTTAAAGAAGTAGAGTTTAAAAACAAAGACAAATATCACCAAAGAGTCCAGGTCTGATATTGTTTACATTTAGGAGGCAAGAAGAGGCATAAGTGGGCACTAGTCACAGAAAATCATGGGCATCTTGGTGTTTTCAATTCAGAGTAGCTTGAGAACCTCACAGTCACTGTGCACTGCTGCACAGGGCACCACACCTGCCTTTCACACTGCACTTTCTTATGGGGTGTTGCAGAAAAACTGACACACTGTAAAACACCAGATTTCCCCTCTGGGGTGCAGATGTTAGAAGAGGTGAGGCTGCCCTTTGTGGTATTCACATGCCCTCTGAACAGATAGAGATTTAGCTTTCTCAGATTTCTCCTGAGAGAAGCTGTGAGAGAAGCAGAGAAAAAATGATCAAAACAATTCTTATCTCACTTGCTGTGTTTGTGCCCATGTGGAATGTGTTCTGGAGACTGTTTACCTGAGGGGATTGCTTGATTGGATTCTGGTGATGGTGTTTTGGATTCACTGACCAATTGGATCCACGTGTGTGTGTCAAAATCTCAGAGAGTCATGGGTTTTCTAGTTAGTTAGTGATAGTTCTTGTTAGTGTAATATAGTTATAGTATAATATAGTATAATAAAGTAATTAATTAGCCTTCTGATATAATGGAGTTCTGTGCATCACTCTTCCCGCTTGGGGGCACCTTGCAAATCTGGTAGTCCTTGGCTCGTGAATGAGATTGTTAACCAAATGATGCTAAGTGGAGTTACACCAAGGCTTCATTAGCTATAGGCATCTGTGGAAGCCCAGGGCACAGGGAATATTTATCTGTCTGCTCTTAGGTGCCCTGACCCCCAGGGGAGCACTGACTTTAACCCTCATTAATGGAGAAAGTTTCCTAGACTTCAAGATGGACTAGAATCCACAAAAGTGTGAAATAGATTGCAGAGAGTATTGTAGGGGTATCACTTGGTGAGAAATGTAGGTTTTGGGATTTTTAGTATGTTGTGGATGGAAGCAAGATGGAGGGCACAGGGCATTGTCCTGGGTTTCTTCTTCATGTTTCTTCTTCCTTCTTCTTCTTGGGTTTGGGTGGTATTTTGTAATTGGACAGAAAAGTCCACACCGTGGGCTCTTTGGGATCATTATTGGGTTAAAAGGGAAAATAATCCATGTGTCAGTTCTTAATTTGATAGTTTAGTCTTAAAAGAGCTTGTAACAAGAGATTGTTAGCCATTTTGTACCTTCTAATAAAAAGCTGCTGAACTTAGTAGTGAGACTGTTTTACTGATAAGAAATAATAAACACTTGAGTCTGAACATGAACTACTGTCTCAAGTGCCTTCAATCCAGACCCAGAGAAACCAACAACTGGGACCCCCACAGGCATCCTGTTACTTCAGCCAGTTTCCACACTATCCTTGACCCAACCACTCATTTTTAGCACTGGTCTCAAAGATGTTTGTTTTCTGATCCATTTCTGTGCTCAATAAACATTTCCATGCACAGTGGTCTAGGTGCAAAGTTGAGAAAGGCAACTAGACTAGAACTTGTAAAAGCTCTTGAGACAACATTTTGCTTCTCCTTTGAGATTTGGGCTTTTTTTTTTCCTTCTGATTTGTGGAATCTCTCATCTTTTAAGAAAAGGGTGTTGAGGTTAGCTGTATCATGGGAATTACAGTTGGGATACTGGTGTTCTGCTCTCTTTTGACATTCAGTCATCAATGAGAGCCACTCACTCTTCTCATATGTTAATATTCACACTGGTTTCTTTCCTATTAATATTCACACTTGCTTTGACAGTAGAATTTATTAAAAATGTACATTTTGGAAGTGGTTTTCAAGTTAAAATTGACAGAACTTTCATTATTTTGCTTGCTTCTTCCACGAATGCTCTCTAGGCAATGAGAAGTATTTGTGCAGGCTGGATTACAATGTATTAGTTATGTATGCATGCACGTGTATTTATAAAATTGATATATGCCATATACTGTATGCATATATTGTATAACTAGTGTTAGTGCTTCCATTTGCAGATCTCAAAGAACTTTGCTGAGCAGCCTAATAATTTTTACCTATTTCTTAGTCATGGGGAAGCCAGGGTAGAAAGGGAATGTGGCTTGTTTAAAACACCATTTGAGATCAGGTCAGCAAGAAAGGAAATCTCTTTGATTCCAAAACAGCGCTGCATTGGTGGGCAGTGACATCCATCTTCTTACAGGTAACTTATCTTTAAAACAAACACCTCAATTTGGAAAGTCTAACTCAGTTGCCAACCTTTAAAGGAGTAAATGCAAAAGTAAAAAAAAAGTCTGTAAAACGTGAAAAACAGGTCCTGCTAGTACTTAGACCAAAAATTGACCAATATCAATTCAAGTCTATTTGCATGCCATAGTTTGAAGAAACAGTAAATTGGAGTCAAAGACACCGAATATATATAATAAAAGGCTATGACATTGATCCAGGATGAACTCACTCTTCCAGTTCAAATACGTAAAATGCGCCTAATCTGGTGTGTTAACGTTTTACTGGCAGGCTTTGTAAGAGATCAGTTACTGTCTGTCTGCACCACTCCAATTTTATGCTGGACAAGTAGCATCTGTCTTTCTGCAGTCAGCATAAAGCCAGCATAAAACTGACATAATCTATGCATCAGGTCCCCCGGTTAATTTGACAGAGAAACAATGGTGTGGCCGCATCCGAGCTGAATCAGTTTTGTCCTGCTGTCTAATCAGTGGCACCGAGACCTTGTGCTAATGGTGATGGAAGAGCAGCCCTAGCCCAATGCCCCGACCCCGCTGCTGTTTCGCATTCAGGTTGCCTTGACCAGAGCCAAACACGCTCATTCACCGGGGGCAGGGAGAGAGCAGAGGTAACTCTGCTTTCCCAGTTTCCCGAAATAGCAGGGCAATACTTGCTGCCGACCCCCCGCTCCCGCAGTTTGCTGGGCTGCATCTCCCTTCCTACTTATACCCGCACCGCCGCCGCTGCGGCCGCGGCTGCAGCACGCCGAGCAGAGCCGAGAGGCGCTGACACGGCGCCGCAGGGGTGGAGGGCAGCGGCAGGGAGGGGGCCCGGGCGGGAGCAGCCTCGCAGGCGCAGCGCCGACAGCCCGGCGCGCCGGGGCTGGCTCCGCACCGCTCGGCAGCTCCGCCGCTGCTGCCGCGCCGCTTCCCCGCCCGCCCGGCGGCAATGCCAGACCTGAGGACACTGTCATCTTAAAGAGCGCAGGGGAGGGACCGTGTGGAAGGGAGGCGGCGGTGCGGGCGCCGCGGGAGGAGGCGGGCGCCAGCAGCAGCATCTCCGCCGGAGCCGCCGCACGAAGGCGCGCTCCCGGCCGCCCCGCTCGCCGCCCCGGCCTCCAGCGCGCCGCCGCCTCCCCGGGCAGC